TATTTTTTCTACTAATTCTAACTATAAATTTAATAATTATCAAAATTGAAACTAAATCCTAAAGAATCCTATCTAATGGTACTTCTCTACTAATTTCTAACTGTAATTTTCTTATAACTATCAAAATTGAAACTAAATCCCGAAGAATCCTATCTAATGGTACTTTTGTAATTATTTATTCTTAATACTTTTTGTTTACTAAATTTTTTAACTATAATTTTCAATAATTATCAATCTCCTATTTTTCATCAATATATCTCAAATCTTAATCTATATATTTGGATTATAAATCTTAATATGTCAGATTTAAAAAAACTAATATTATATAAAATATGAATAATACTACATTATTAAATTTTACTATATTAGTATACTATATTTTCTTATTTTATATTAAATTGATTTTTTCACTTTTGAAATAATATCCCGTGCATCGCACGGTGAAAGATGCTAGTATATATAATAACACAGCACCTGTGTAAACAATTTAGCAATCCACTAGCAAACAAAAGCCTTTTGTATCTCCACCCACACCACATGTCCACCACCACATGCAAAATTCCTTTACACATTCATCACTTTCCAATAATTAATTAACAAGGTTAAATTACACCTAGACCCCTGAAGTATGCTAAAATAATTTAAAAGTCCATATAGTATCGATAATTACAATAGCTCCCCCAAAACATTGTTAGAAACTCTAACGGAATAATGCATTGGATAAGTTATTCCGTTATGGTTCTAACGAACTACTAGTTTTAGACAATGATGTAGACAACATAGAGAGTTATGGGGTGACATGGCTCTCCAAAGAGTTCTTAAATTCTTATTATTTTATATAAAATTTATAAATTTCGTGCATGGTAGCATGAACGGCCCCATTGGAAACAAATATAGTGCATTCCCAGGACATGAAATCTCGGCTCCAATAAACTATAAATAACAATATCACATGGACCTTAAAGTTATTTTAGCATACATCAGGGGTGCATGCGTAATTTACCAATTAATGATAAATAACAAACACTTTATACACTTCGCCCCATATTGATCTTTTCACACTCATTTTCTTTCTCCTCAATTTCACAATCTCTCTCTCTCTCTCTCTCTCTACAATCATTACAATGGCAACTTATTTAAACTTTCTTGCAGCAGCCATACTCACTGTAATAACAATCTTCACTTCCCTAATAATCCCTTCTTATGAACTTATAACAACTTTACCAGATATTTCAGCTGCACCAGCTTTGCTTCCGGATCCTCCAACTTCTCCATACATTCAAGAATTGTCACCGGATATTGCTCCACTCTTGCCTTCTTCGGGCGGCCCGACCCGTTCTTCAACCGGATCCTCCATGCCCACAATCCCCTCGACCCGTACTCCGAACCCGGATACCGTTTCCTCCATCGGCCCGGATACCGCACTTGCACCGGCTGCTGGCCCGTTACAAGATTCCTCTGCACAAGGGGTTGGAGTTCAAGTATCTTTTGGTTTATTTTTGGCTTTTATTTGTTATTATTGTTATTATTATTAATTAGTGATCATTTTTTTCTTAATTAGCTGTACTTTACTGTTTTAAGTGTATTAGTAATATTAATTTGAAGGAGAGAGTTTATTTAATTAGTTGTTAAAAAGGGAAGAAATTAAAGAAAATTTTAAGGGTGTATGTTGTGCTTTCCAGGTAAGTAAATTTTGTCGCGACTTTGGTAATTAGCTATTGTTATTAATATTTAAGTGGCACGAGAAATTACACTTTTGACACTTAATTGTCCAGAAGTGCACCGAGATTATTGTATCGGGTAAATTACGGTCACCTCCTATGAATTAAGGTCAAATTACGAAGAAAAAAAAAATCACGTTTGAATAATTATAACTATTCTCATAAACTATGAATATTCTTACACGTCCTTCCTTGCAGTGTCAAATTCAGTGGATCATTCTAGATTATGTGAATATTCTCCAGTTTGTACATGTTTTACCCCGTTCGAGTTTCACATCGTCAAATGAAATGATCATAAGATGTGTGTCTCTTGTAAATATCAGATTGTGGTGCATTAGAAACTGCATTTTTTACACAAAACGAGTACAAATTAGAGAATATTCCAAATAATCTAAAAGTTTCTGTTGAATTTGACACCATAAAGATTAACGAAGAAGATTCATAATTGCAGAGTGTTTGTAATTACCTTAATATGAGGGTTTTTTTTCGTAATTTAATCTTACACTGTATGAACTCCATTTTCATTTAAAAAAAACATTAAAAATCGCAACTTTCGAAATACAAATTGAAAATTTTTGTTCCATTATCAAATTTTCAAATTAGAATCGACGAAATTCATTCTAAATTCCAAAACTCATGCTTTCCAGATCAAGGAATGTCTACGATCAAGATCCAGAATTTGTAATCCAGAAAGGAAAGATATAAATTGAAAACAACAACTTGCATTCGAAAACCATCAATAACTCAAATAAGAGAACTTAAAATCACTCCAGATATAAATCGACGAATCCAAACAGGGAATAAGAACAAGACAAGCTAGAGTTCCTTCAAACCGAAAAACGAAAAAAAAAAACTAACGATGGTTCGTTATTGGTGAAGTACAAAGTACGAAAAGACCCTTGATAGCACGACTACTTCAATAGAAGATACGTTTCTGCATAAATTTTCCCAGCAAATTCTATAAATAGCTCTCCTAATTTTCTTTTGGGCTCAATTACTCGATCATTTCTTCTCCAAGAGCTTTTCGATAAGATCGGCAGCATCTTGAACGGTTGTGATACTCTGTGCACTTTCTTCCTCCACCGAGATTCCGAATTCCTCTTCAAGTCCCATCACAATCTCAACCTATCAGCCGAAAAAAAAAATTTGTGAAAATATTTCGTGTTTCATTGGGTAACTAATACCGCAGAAGAAGCAAAAGATAATACTGTCATCTGTCATTTAAATCGATAATACATAATTACGGGTTTGTTTGCGAATCATGACAAAGCTTGATAGACAATATAATAAAGCTTTGTCAAGCATTTGGGGTTTAGTTTTCGACTTTTCGGTTTAATCGAGCATCTGAAGTTATTAGTCCAAAATCAATGTTATCACGCTATTATATTACCCATAACAAGGGTGTCGATTAAAATTATAAAATAAATAAAGCCGAGAGGGTAAAGTAAATTACCGTGTCGAGAGAATCGGCACCAAGAGTAGCAAAAGTCGACTCTCCGCTGACATCACGGTCATCGGGGAGAGCAAGTTGCTTTCTCACAATATCAACTACTTTACATACGGTCTCCGGTTTAGCCTGCTCAATACAACAAAGTCTCGAAGAATTAAACAAAATTATTATCTGAAATTAAAACAAAACAATAGGCTACGGCTACAATGAAAGCTTACCGAACAAGCGACTCGGAAACGGAGTGCCGGAATTCTACGAGACGGAGAGCTCTTTCCACTGAATGAAAGCGAAGCCCTCCTCAAATTCGAAACCTGACAAATACAACAAAATCAAAGGGAGAATTATTATTTTTTATTTTTTATTTATTTAACCCTCGATCAATCACAAAATCCCACTATGCTAATTCATGAATAATCATTTAATTTTATTTTTGCATAAATTAAATTATTCTTAAGTAAAAAATCTGACTGATGGCAATTTTTTTTTTTAAATTTAATTATGTTTAAAGCTGCAGATTAAATAATAAATATTAGATTTTGAATTGAAAATAAATCAATTAACAGAAACAGAATAATAATTAAAAAGCTTGACAACATAAGATCTCTTTGGGGGTGTCGATTAAAACCTAATTGAAAAAAAAAAATTGGGGAAAAACACTGAAGATCACAGATCAGAAAATACCAATCAGAACAGAAAAAATAAAATGCATAATCATAAAACCCATCAAATAATTAACAAACAAGTTAGAAATTGAGAGATCGATGGCGTCGAGTGTAACCTGGTTTGGCTTGACTGTGCAAGAAACAGCGGAGAATGAAACAGGGGAAGCAGCGAAAGAAGCCATTTTTATTTTTTTGTTGTTGTTGAGAAGAGAAGAAAATGGATCTGCAAATTTATGAAGAGAGTGTGGCGGAGAGTACGAAGAGTGTGTGAATGAATGAATGTACGTATTTTGGCAATTAGTGAATACGAATTTGTCCAAGTAGAGAGAGTGAGAGTTTGGTGCTGGTGCATAAATGCTTGTGTTTCCCCTGCTTTGCTTGTATCGAAAGGGGGTGTTTGGTTGATGGGTTTAGCAGAACCAGATTTTGGGCTGATTTCTTTGGGCTTTTTAAGGGTGTTGATTGGGTTTGATTTTATGCAAACTAAATTAATTTATTGGGAAAAATACGGTTTTAGTCCCTTAAGTTTGCATTCATGCATATTTGGTCCCTCATGTTTCAACAATACAACACTTCTAGTCTTTTGCATTAAAACTAACGAAATCAAGTGTTTGCCCATCACTGCGATAAATGACGGACTAACGGTAAATCGACGGAAATGACCAAAAGTGCTAAAAAAATTGAAACTTGAGAGCCCAAATCTGATTTTTGTAAATATGAGGGACCAATTGTGGATATGTACAGAGTCAAGGGATGAAAACTATATTTTTCCCTTAATCTATGCGTCTTTTTTTTCATATTGTCCTTCACTGAAATATATTTTAAAAAAAATATTTTTTTACTTTAACAAAAATATTTTAAATTATAATTTCAATTATAAATATCCGTTCTACATCAGTATATAGTTGAGATCAAAGACCTCATTTTATTAACAAAATTAGACATTTTGATAACATAGGAGAAAGATACAATACATACTATATCCTACGCAAAATTACTCGGTGTTTCACCATATGTAGCATCTCATAGACTATCATGGTTTTGTAGATATTACACCTGATGAAATACATCAGATAATTATGTAATCCTGCACCATCAATATACACACCATTAATATACACATATACTCATGTGTATGTATTATTAGTAGATAGTTATTTATATAGATCTATGATGCGAAATCACCCAGTACTTTTCATCGATATATCATCTCTTAGACCATTATGGTTTTGTAACACCTGGTGAATAAGACCGGGTAATCATGCACCATTGATTTATACATTATATGAATGGTTATGTATAGATCTATGGTGCAAAATTACCTGATGCATTTCATCAGATGTAGCATCTCGTACACCAATTTCCGAGCGTTTAGGAAGAAAGTTGTACATCAAATTTAAACTACTAGTCTTCAATTATATTTTAGTATTTTACTATAATATATATTAATGGACCTTAGCCCACTATTTTTATAATCTCAACCAAAAGAGGAAGCCCAATTGTCACAAGTTACATTCTACTTGGATCCAATCAAGTTAATTAAATTTATTTAAAAGCCCAACTAATATATAATGCTGACAAATCGAATTTGGTCCATAGTTATTGATAACTTGAAACTAAATTCATATTATTAATTCTTTAATTTCTCACGATATATTGAAGGAATTAAAAAAAAATTAATATTTAGTAATTAATAATTCGTATTATTATCAATTAATTAGCATCCAGTACTAACAACATTTTCAGCTAATGACTCAGGCATTCCATCCTGCAAACAATCAATAGGAGGAATAGTGAGAGTCTCCTGCACACCATAAGCATTCCAACAAAAGGGGTCGTCGACCAAAACGCCCTCGTACGGCAAAAGCTCGACCTCGGACATCGTGATATTCGTGCACGCCACCGTGTCGCTGCACGCAAAGTGTATCGGCGGGCTCCGCACGTCGTACGTGCCCTTTATGTTCTTGTACGACACGTCGGTCAGGTAAACGGCTGACGTCTCGTTCCTGCACGCCTTTGTCAGGCAGTAGTACTGGTCGATTATCACGCTGTTCCTGACGTTCTCCATTTGGATATTCTCGAACGATATCCCGGAAACGGACCCCGCCCCGCCTTGCCACGTCTTGATCCTCAGACCGTTGTCCGAGTCTCGTATTATTATGTTTTTCACGGTTATGTTTGAGACGCATGCGCGCGAGTTGTGCACGCCTAGGCTTCCGATACTGCACGTGTTATAGAGAAACGAAACAACGTTATATATGTTACCATACATTTGTTCGAACAACTTATGCATAACATGCACACGAATGTGTGTATATAACATAATAAAACCATCAAATGAGTCGGTCACAAAGGCAAAAGGAATATTTGCTGCTAAAATCGGGATTACGGGTGGAAATCGGAACGATATTTCGGAATTATGCCGTTTCGATCAAAATATTTCTGATTTTGGAACAAAATTTTCATTATGAATATTGAAAGTTCCGATTTTCAATTTATTTAATTTTTTTCTGAACGAAATTGGAATACATATTAGATTATGATTTCCAATCCGATTTTAATTTCCAAAAGTTCTATTTTTTATTTTGCAAATTTGTATCCAATAATATCAATATTATTATGTTTTTTTTTTTCATTACAAATTTTCTTTTAACCTAATTGAAATTAGTTTTTTCCACCTGCGAAAAAATTGGAATATTTCTGGTAGTATTAATTCCGATCCGATATTTGATGATTTAAATTAAAGTTCTTCCCCAATACGTAAATTAAAGAATAACAAAAAAAGATGTAAATTAATTAAAAGAAAAGAATTGCGACAAAAAATATTACCTGATCCCGTGACTGGGCCCACAAGTGACGCCATCTATCTCGACATCGGCACACCCTTGTCCTATTGAGATGCAATCATCCCCTGTTTTTATCAATAAATCAAAACCAATTATTTATTTGTAAGCCAAATTAATAATAATAATAAAAAAATTATATACATATTTTCAAGTTTTAGTTTTATTTTTTATTTAAAAAAAATAATACCATTGTGTATGAGGGAGTTGTAAATGCCAACAGATTTTGTGTTCTCGATGTGAATGCCATCGGTATTAGGGCTCAACTTCGGCGAAAAAATCGATAATTTGTCGATCGTCACACCTTGGCAGCCGTCGAATTTCATGTGGAATTGGGGGCTATTTTGTATGCGCAAACTACTCACCACCAAGTTCGAACTCATAAAAAATCGAATCATCTGCAATAAAAATATTAATTAGATGCAAAAAAAAATAAAAAAAAAAATAAAAAAAAATAAAAGCATCAAAAAATATTTGAACTTTTGAACTAACCGCCGGGCTGTCACATGGTCCGGGCAATGTTGATCCATTAGGCCCCTGAAAATGACGTCATCCAAATCCAACATTAATCTCCCAACTACTATACTAACACCAAATTAATGCTAGTTCATATGATACAAGGGTGTTTTTGTTAATATTTATAACACGATGGGTATTTTCGTAATTCGATACAATACATGGGGTGTGGAATGCAAAGTAACATAAAAACAAGAGTTAACAACCTTGTGAGGTTTGCATGGAAGATCCCACCACTTTTGTCCATTGCCTTCTATAGTGCCGGTGCCGGTGAAACTCATATTATCGAGCCGGTAAAACACGATCCACTGCTTATGGCTATCCGATTCCGGCCAACAATCCGGCCCGTCGGGCGTCGCCAGCACCCCATCCACCTTTTTTGTTTAAATTCAAAACATATATCCAATCAGAATTAAACTAATTTAAGTACATTTCTCAAAAGAAAAAAAAATCTTACTTGAAAAACAAGCCCGGGCTGGCAAGGCCCGGAAAAGATAGTAGAAGTGATCACGAAAGTAAAATCATTAGGCGCCAAAACGACGCCGTTCTCCACCTGGCAAGCAGCTTTCCACGCGGACTTGAATGCGGCCGTGTCGTCGGTGTCTCCGTCTCCGACGGCCCCGAAATCCGTCACGTCGAAAATGCAGCTGGTCGCAGTTGTGTCGTTCGCGGCCGGTCCGTAGCTCGGGTCGGACGGAATAGATGGCGCGTAATCGGGCGATCGGGCCGGGGCATAAACTGGTGATATTAGTGGAGCTAGGGTTTTGTTATTCTTTTGCTTATTGCTAATGTGGTGATGGCGGCGTGCGTATACATTGCTAGCTTTATGAAACAACACGAGTGTGGTAACGAGTAGAGATAGTAATAAGAAGTGTAGTATTTTCATTGGAGGCTTTATTAATGCAGAGAATTTGTGACAGCTGGCTGAACAATGCAGCCTGGTGTTTTTTTTGGCTTGAGAAACAGGGGAGGAGGGAAAGCAGGGGAGGAGAGAGAAAGTGATGAGAGAGAGAGAGAGAGAGAGAGAGAGAGAGAAAGAGTTGTGGCTTGTGAAGGAGTACATAAAGGGTTTGATTTATTGTTTTGATGGTTAAGCCCGTGACGAAAGGAGTGTTTGGAAGCGAATTTAATATATTTGAGTGGCACATGAATTTAGTTTTATTTGATGATATGAATATGGTTGAAAAATAAAGCTTCCCGTGACATGTAACAGATGGTTGTATCTACACCACGAATGGTGTCTCTTTGTACTTTCACCCCACCCCCACCCCCCCTACCCACCCCCCACCCCACACGAATCTTCCGGCCAGAATCAAATATTTTTTGTTATTACAAAACTTTATTGTGTTTTTGTGTTATGTTACATGAATATAATGTCGGCAACGCGCTCGTCTCCAGATC